ATGTAATGGGAAGCTGAAAACTCTGAGCACAGATAGAGGTGGTGAATTTCTTTCTAAAGAATTCATCAACTTATGTGATGAAGAAGGAATCAAGAAAGAATTGGCAACACCCTATACCCCTGAACAGAACGGTATAGCCAGGTGGAAGAACCGAACCATAGTTAAAATGGCCAGATCAATGCTTAAGTTCAGGAACATGAAAGATGAATTTTGGACAGAAGCAGTGGCAACCGCAGTGTACTTGATAAATATATCACCCACAAAAGCAGTGTGGAATGTCACACCATATGAAGCCTGGTATGAATCCAAACCTTCTGTCGATCATTTGCGTATATTCGGATGAGTATGTTATGCCTTGATACCATCCGGTAGACACAAGTTAGATCAAAAAGCAAAGAAATACGTATTTATAGGATACTATACAAATTCCAAGGCATATAGACTTTTTGATCCAGATAAAAAGTCTATTGTTGTTAGTAGAGATGTGAAGTTTAATGAACAGGAAGGATGGGATACAAGTTCAAGTCAAGTTAACTCAAGCATGGATGTAATGCAAGATGAAGTTCAAGAAGAAAGCATGCAAGAAGAGGTATCAAACAACTCCCATGGCAATGTTTGAGACAGCCCTCAAGACACAACAACAAGTAACAGTTCAAAGTCATCGCCAAACGACATAAGTGAAGAAGTTAGTCTAAGAAGATGTGAGCGTGGTAGAATACCAAAACGCTCATTTGATATTGAAGGAAAAAAATTGTGACTTCGCATTGTTTGCTGGAGATCTAGTAACACCAAGAGAAGCAATGGAAGCCGAAGTGTGGAAGAAAGCCATGAACAAAGAAATTCATGCAATTGAGAAGAATGGAACTTGGAAGCTTGTTGATCTACCTGCATGAAAGAAGGCAATCAGTCTTAAACGGATTTTTAAGGCCAAGTATCATGCAGATGGAACAATCCAAAAGCACAAAGCAAGGTTAGTAGCATGAGGATATGCACAAGAATACGGAGTAGACTTCGAAGAGACCTTTGGTCCAGTGTCGAGATTCGAGACTATGAGAATCATTCTCGCACTTGCAGCTCAAATGGAATGGATGGTTCATCAGTTCGATGTAAAATCTTCTTTTCTAAATGGAGAGCTCAAGGAAGATGTGTATGTGCAACAACCAAAATGTTATTAAGTTCCAGGGGAAGAAAACAAAGTGTACAAATTCGAGAAGGCATTGTATGGGTTGAAACAAGCCCCTCGAGCTTGGTACAAAAAAATAGACGAGTTCTTTCATGAACATGGATTCAAGAGAAGTCTCAACGAACCAACCTTATATGTGAAGAAGCAAGGAGATAAAGACATCATCCTAGTAAGTCTTTATGTGGATGATATGATTTATGTTGGTTCATCTGCACAACTTATTTCAGAATTCAAGAATGCTATGCAGAACAAATTCGAAATGATGGATCTGGGATAATTAAGTTAGTTCCTAGTTCTTGAGGTCAAGCAAACCAAGAATGGAATATGGTATTGAAAACAAGAGAAGTTTGAACTAATGGGCTACTCTGATAGTGATTGGGCAGGCTCTCATGAAGACAGAAAAAGTACTACAGGAAATCTCTTCAATTTTGGATCTAGAGCAGTAACTTGGGTGTCAAAGAAGCAGACCACGGTTGCCTTATCTTCAACAGAAGCCGAGTATGTTGCTGCAACTACAGCTGCTTGTCAAGCAGTATGGTTAAGAAGGCTATTAGGAGACTTGGATCAAGAACAAAAGAAGGTAACTCTGATCTTATGTGATAACATATCAACAACAGCCATGACCAAGAATCTTGTGCTCCATGGAAGAACAAAACATATCGAAATCAAACATCATTTCATCAGAGATTTGGTGGCCAATGAAGAAATTAAGCTGGAATTCTGCAGAACTGATCAACAAGTGGCTGAAGTGTTCACTAAGTCACTTCCAAAAGGAAAATTTGAAGAACTCCGTGATCAGTTAGGAGTTGCCAACTTTGAATCAAGGGGGAGTATTGAGAGTTGAATGATTCAAAGTTTGCTGCTGAAGTAAAGGAAGATCGTGGTTGATTTAGTCTTTTATTTTTATTTTTATTTTTTGCTTTCTAGTCTTTAGTTGCAGATTTATTTCCTGATTTGTATTGAGAAAGTTGCCGACAAGGAGACTTGTCATTTTATGTTTTTCAAACTTAACTCCCAACGGGTTGGTCACTCTCTAAAAGTGTCAAAGTGTGATAGATTCAGAGATGAACTATCTTGAACACGCCAACTTGAATGATATGGGAATCGGCTCGAAAGAATGATTTTTAACAAAGAGATTTGTTTAGCCATATATTTTGAAGACACCAATTGTCACTATCCCTGGTCTGAACACTACATAGAGATATGGGTGCTAAGTTATAATATAGTGCAAAGGTGAAGTCCGAGAGAAATACCTTCAAAATAGATGGTGGAACTAGTTCTTCTACAACATTGTCTGCTGGATTTTGTGTTTATGTTTCACCCCAAGTCTTACACCCTTGCTACCTTTATTATTTTGTTATATTATATGTGTTAACTCAGAATCACCTGAAGTTTCATTTTCGTCATCTGAAATCTTTTCTTTTATTGGACTCTTATTTAACTTTTGCTATAATCCTCGTGGACGATAATCCGGTACTTATATCACTTTATTACTTGGAAAGACAATATTGAGCCATATTGTATACTTGCTTTGTGGCCCAGTTCTTTAGTCTAAAGGTGTTAGAAATAGCCCGGCTAGCCACCGATGTAAGGGAGTTGTTGGTGTTGGTGCTGACTAGATAAGATCTGGAAGGGATGGCTTATTGGGCTTCTTTCAAAGTAAGCATGGATTAGGCTTAATATGTATAAGGGAAGAAAGGGGCCACTTTGCTGAATGATAGTGACCACAACGTCATATGCCTAAGTTAGACCAACAACACGTTGCAGAATGAGATGTTGGTTTGTGACCCGAGAGCATGGCAGTGATTCACAAGACGTGTATGAGAGAATTGATTTTTCGAGATATACACGAGTGTTTTTGTTGTCTTGAAATATATCATCCTTAACTGATCCCATGCATGGAAGCTCGTGGAATTTGGTTCAAGAATTGTGTGGAGAGGGCATCATAGATATATTATAGAACCATATTATTGAGACGATTACATAGTTCCTTGTTCTAGCCAATGAGGATGGAATGAGTTGTTTGCCGTTGGTGAAGGAACAATGTGGTTGATTACCTGATACGCGTTAGCGGTAATTAATCTTGAAGAGTTCAGCCATTGAGAAGTATAAGATCGATGTCTTGGACATTGAGAACGATGAGGACAAAGTTGTAAATATTAGCGATGCCAACCCCCCCGGGAAAGGGGGTCTTGGCTGAGTCGGGCTTGGTGGGAGGAGTTGAAGAGTTTTATATTTGAACATTGCATATAAATCTAATCACATTAAAAGGATTTCACAATCATAAATAAGCTTTAATTTGAAGATCTGAATATAAAAGGATGCCTCAATATTTAATTATACTGAACAAGGTGTAAAGTACGCGAACAAACGAGCGAAATCACAAAAAACAAGTCCGAATTCGTCAGCTGGAGCTTGAGAGAAATCAAATTACAATATCGCAATTAAAGATGCAACTAAATTACACTGTAAAACAAAGAGGTTTAATGACGGATTTTTCCATTGTTAATTTTACTGGTGGATTTGTGATGGATCACATACCGGAAAATAGTTCTCCGTTTACGGTTCAAAACTCGCCGGTAAAATGACGTTGTGGCTTTTTCTGGCGTAATGGTTTTTCTAGCTGACTATCCATCGATTTTCCATTGGTGAAGTCTCTTTGTTTTTTAGTGTTAGGGTTTGAGTTTATTTTCGATTCATACATATCCATTAAGTAAACAACTAGAAAGGTGAACACTTTCTTTCACAGATTCAACTAAAAGTTTAACCAACTAACTAGGGTTTAGAAAATACCAAATTTTTGAAAACAAACCGAAGAAGTTACCGAGTTAATTAATTAATTAACTACCAAATTTTGACTCAGACTCAGACGAACCGAGAGTCCTGTCTATCCTTAGTCACATCGAAAGACTTATTTATACTTCTGAGCTGCCCATAAAAATAGAACCTTTTGATCTCCAACTACACCAYCCACTATCGGATGGACTTATTGCTCAGTTTCCTGGTCTTTAAAAGCATCCATTGTAGGAAATTAGAATGGTTGATGGCTACGCCATTGTGGTCTTGCACCAGATGGAGTAGGTGGCGCCGTGTCGGAGGTAGGGATGCGACGACGGAAGGTGGGCGACTTGCGCGGGTCTTGAACCTATTTTCCCTTCAAACCAACTTCCCCACCACAAAACCCATCAGAGATCTAGATTGAGAGCTGAATCAAAGAATAAATTATAGCTTACTAATGGAAATATTGGGAACGAAATTGGAGAAGTTGAATGTTCATCCATTAATGGAGTTGAAGAATTTACAGCAAAATCACTTATTTTAGGGGTTTTGATTTTTTAGAAAAGGGTTTGAAGATGAACAAGAAAGAAGATGGTTTCCTTTGTGTTGTGTTCTTTCTTCTCTTAATATTCCATGTTACATTTTACCTCTAAATTGACCAACGTATCCTTATGTGAGTGACATTTGATGATATTTAACGTTTGTGAGAAGGAGCAACGAAAACAGAAAATGCAAACAATAAAGATAACAATAAAATAATAGTAATAAAATAATAATGCAATAAACTTGCAAAATAAAAGGTGGTAAGTGAAGGTTTATGCAGGGGAGTGTCATTTTCCACATCGGTACACCAAAGGATATATTCTTTGTTGGTCATCCTGATGATTCGTATCGCTTATTATGATATTAAATGACCGAAAACGATTAAAAAATTCAGCGCCACGGTAGCAAGAGCCATCATGCTTCTTGCCTCTTTACCTATCACATATACTCACATGGTCATCTTCATGGCAGCTACACTGATCAATTGTAACGAGTAGAGAGAGATGGAGAATGGCTCAACCAAGAAAAAGAAATGGGCGTTCCAGGGAAACCCTGAGCTGAACACTGCGTCCGAAATAACCATTAGAGCCGTTCTTGCTATGCTCAAGACGCATCTCAACCAATCTGACAGCAGACCCGTCATCCCTCTGGGCCATGGCGACCCTTCTTCTTTCTCCTGCTTCCGTACTTCCCCGATTGCAGAAGATGCCATTGCCAATGCTCTCCGTTCTGCTAAATTCACCGGTTATTCCCCTACTGTTGGCGTTCTTCCTGCTAGAAGGTATTTCCTCTTGGTCTTGTCATTTCTAATTCCAAGTGTTTGTTTCTGCTTTTAAGAAAAAAAAGCTTCTGATTATCGTCAATCTGAACATATATTTTTCTAACATGCTTCATGTGTGTCAGTACTGGGTGTATTTGTGAGCTGACTTGGTTAATCACGCAATCCTGGCGACTTGGGAGTTGGGTCTGTTCACGTCTGTAACAAATATACAATCAATGTCCTAATTTCACTTATTTATTCTCTCATAGGGCAGTAGCAGAATACCTTTCTCAAGATCTTCCAAACAGGATATCACCGGATGATGTATTCTTGACGGTAGGTTGCACACAAGCTATTCAAACCATAATAACAGTGCTTGCCGATTCCAAAGCAAACATTCTACTCCCCAAACCAGGTTATCCGTATTATGAAGCTTTTGCACAATCATGCCATTTGGAAGTCCGTCACTTTGACCTTCTTCCAGATAAAGACTGGGAAGTTGATCTTGTTGCAGTCGAAGCTCTTGCAGATGAAAACACAGCTGCCATGGTTATAATTAACCCTGGAAATCCCTGTGGGAATGTTTTCACATTCCAACATCTACAAAAGGTGCCCACGTGTGTTTATTGTTTTGCTTTTCGTTTATCATGACAGAGTTTTTTTGGTTGTATTATGATCGGATTTTTGTGTGCCTTCTGTATTAGGTTGCCGAGACTGCCAGGAAGCTTGGGATATTAGTGATTGCTGATGAAGTTTATGGGCATATTGCTTTCGGGAAAAACCCTTTTGTTCCAATGGGAGTCTTTGGATCAATTACCCCTGTCATTACACTTGGTTCTATATCAAAAAGGTGGATTGTTCCTGGTTGGCGACTCGGATGGCTTATCATCAATGATCCTAATGGCGTCCTTAAGAAACACAGGGTTCTCTACCTTTCTCACATCTACATAGAATATATATGCATCTTGCTAAATCAAGTTTTCTTTTCTGATTTTATTTTTCAGATCATTGAATGCATTACACAGTATCTCAATATATCATCTGACCCTCCAACGTTTATTCAGGTTCCTAAGTAGTAATATATACATATAAGTTATATGATCTTCATTCACGTGTTTTCTTCATGGTTTCCTTTTATTTTATCTTGCCCTTTTTCTTTCACTTGCAGGGTGCGGTTCCTGATATCCTTGGGAAAACCAAAGAAGATTTCTTTTTAAAAATCATAAATACAATTAAAGAAGCTGCAAATTCTTGTTACGAGGGAATTCAAGACATCCCTGGTGTCATTTGCCCAAGCGAGCCTGAAGGATCGATGTTTGTTATGGTAAGGACGTAGATGCACAATTACATTTAAAGATCAATTTCAGATAATTTAAATTGTAAGGTGATGTGTTCGGGTTTTGAACTTCAAGACTTTCGCAAAGCGAAGTAGCCGTGATGCATCAAGTGTTTAAAAGAGTTTTCTTACTTGAGATTTATAATGTGTAAAAGGTGAAATTAGATCTATCTATCCTGGAGAACATCAAGGATGATTTGGACTTCTGTGTCAAGCTTGCCAAAGAAGAATCGATTATCATCCTACCAGGTAAAAATGACCGTGCATTATTACCATTTTCTTCTGTTCCTTTCTTGGACACTCCCAAATTTGCTTCTTTCTCGTTAAGGTATAAGTGTAGGACTCAAGAATTGGCTTCGTCTAACATTTGCTATCGAGCCATCATCTCTTGAAGATGGCATCAAGAGGATTAAAGCTTTTTGCAGAAGGCACTCCAAGAAAGCATAGTGTCAAACTGTCAATCGCTGGCAGGTTCATCTCTGGCGATTTCCCAAGGCTTCAAAGAAGGAAACTTTCTGGATCATCAACTGCTTGTTGGATTATATACTATTTCTTGAACAGGTCCTCTAGAAGAATATTGCATTGTCTTCTATTTCATATGTAACATTATGTATCTGGACGTTGTGTACGTTTAGTTTGCATGAACCTTATGATCTTGAACTGCATGATTATCATAAGCATGCGTAGTAAGTATCTTGCATTAAGTGAACATTACCTCAAGACATTGTGATGTTGGTGTTGTTTGTTGATGTCCGATTACAAAAAGACCAATTCGGTTTCTCCCTCCTTGCCTATAACCTTACACCACTAGAAAATTGGGTATCATCGACAAAAGAAGACCTTTATTTCATAATGGAAGGTGCTTTGCATATCGTGAAAATAATTGTTTCTTTCATCGTAGAAGAAACCCTTGTTTTAGGGCGAGAGAGAACCAAATTTCCTAATTAGAGTCTAATTAGCTTAGCTATAAATTTGATGTCAACGGTTCATCCAGATAGAGATGAACTTATGAATTATCTTTTGTTCGTTAGCATATTGCTAATGAAATAAAGATTCCTACGGTGACCATACTTAGTCGATAAGAGCACACATTATTGTTAAACTTATTATATTCAAAGGATTTTCTATTAAGAACACTTAATAAAAGAATACAAGAACAAGAATACAACACAGTAACAATAGATCTAAAACTATTACAAAGAATATAAACGAGAAAAATGATGAACTAACAATATGAAGATATAAAGATCAGAGATAGATCTTTGAATGATAGAGAGATCGATCTTCTTTTTGAGAGAGAATGTTTAGAGTGAAATATGAAAAAATGAATTGTGAGTAGAGCTAGATCTGGCGATGACAGCTTTATATATCATTTATGATTGACCAAGTTTGCCCCTCAAAGAATCAAGTAATTGCTCCGTTAACCTCCAAGTTTCCCAATAAGTGAGGTGCGCCCCTTCTACTTAGAAACAAGCTTTATCTTTTCCATATTATCAGAATCTACCCAAACCTGTTAAATCATTAACAAACAAAGACATTCAAAGTTAAGTCAGTTAAGTCAAGATTGGATAATATGTATATTTTAGCAATTATTTTTTTCATATTAAGATTCATAAGGCAGGTATTATAGCTACAAAATTATATATTTGGTTATCATAACTATCCTAGTTAGTCTAGTTGTTAATTAGTCATGGCGTGCGTACACACTACAAGAAACACCGGTAACAACAACAGGAGAATCCGTAGTTTGATTAAAATCAAATCTCTAGCAAATCCATCGCAAACAAGTCGTAGCTAAGCAGTTGGTTGCAAAGATATTTTACTACGGATTTAACAACAGAATGTTAGTATCAGAGATGGACGAGCGTGTAGCATATCCGTAACAAAAAGGTGGTTTATACGTTTCATAATTACCCTTTCTTAAGTAAAAGATCCACCAAGAAAACCATGAATAAGCTACGGATTAGCTAGGATACGAATTAGCTAGTGAACGTATTAGCTACGGATTAGTTAGGGTGATAATTAGCTATGGATTAGCTAGGATCATAATTAGCTACGGTAAGAATTATCTAGGAATTAGCTAGTAACCCTATCAGCGACATATTAGCTACGAAATTTATAAATATGGATTAGCTAGGGATGACCAAAGGATTTGATTTTCCAAGCCGTAGTTAATATGTCATTGAATTTGTATATCTTTTCAAAAAAATAAATTAAATTGTACTATTCTTTTGTATAAGATGCAGTTTATTGTATATGCATTACAAAATATTTAACAAAAGACCATGAACCTAAATTTATTACAATTAAGTTTTGTAATCATACGCAATTAGGTTTTTAAATTGGGAAAAGTACAATAAAAACCAATGGACGTTCTTGTTTGGAATGATTAAGTCCTTAGACTTTTTTTTGGAACAAATAAGTCATTGGACATTCCAAAACATGTTAAATAAGTCATTGGACAATTTTTTGGAACAAATAAGTCCTTGGACAATTTTTTGGAACAAATAAGTCCTTGGACATTCCAAAACATGTTAAATAAGTCATTGGACAATTTTTTGGAACAAATAAGTCCTTGGACATTCCAAAATATGTTAAATAAGTCATTGGACAATTTTTGGAACAAATAAGTCCTTGGACATTCCAAAAT